GTTATTTATTACTCCTTCGCTTTCTCTTCTTTTCTCTCTCTCAATGCTATTGTTTCTCAAATAGTTTGATTTGGTTTGGTTTTACACAAAGGATTTTAGTTGCGTTTCTAGAAATTTTAACATTGGGGGTTCTTTTTCATTTTTGCAAACTTTTGTTTCAAAAATTTTGTTTAATCCCCTATACTTTATAAAACCCTTAAAATGCCCAATAATTCGAGGCTGGCTCGGCTCGTGAGCTTAAGGAGCCGAGCCAAGGTAGACTCAAACTTGGCTCGTATTCTCTCACAAATCAAGCCAAGCCATATGAGCCATCCTCGAGCTGAGCCGCTCATGAACGGCTCGCCTCTATGAACAATTTTCCAATGTGTAAGATAGAAAAATTGTTAATATTTCATATTTGTTTAAAATTTTGGCTTAAAAATAGACACGATAAATATGTTTCTTATGTTTCTAACATATTAAAAAAAAGAAAAAGAAAATACAAGTTAGAAAACGTGATCACAAAGGCCTAATCTCCTTCCTAATTCATATTACACTACTGTCTTCTCTATATATCATGGCAACATGGGAGATATTTATATATAGTCACATCATGACCAGAAGCTTCATAACTTAAGTCTTAATGGTGGTAGTTGAGCTGTAGACAGTGTCGGCTGTACATCTGTATAGTTTCTTCGCATTACTTTATTACAGCAAAGGTTGTGGGATCATATAATCCATATATTATCTTCCACCCAACTTAATAAACTACACAATCAAATCCCACTTAATTAAACTTTCGTTCTGAGGTTTTTTCATATTCTCCAGCTTTTTATCAACTCAAACTCAAAAACTTTTATTAATTACCATCAGTACAAGCTACGTACCATCATATGAAGGCAAAATCTCTCGATTATCAATCTATGACAAGCAGAATTACCAGCCTTTCAAAGATATGAGGCTAGAGACTTAGGAAAATTTTGCCTTGTCCCACAAAAAACAAGAGGCCGGAGAGATCACGATCACTTGCTCTAATGTTCGACAAAAATAGTAGGCTTGGGTGAAAAAGATTACTTAAACTATATACGCCAACTATATCATATGGTTATAATATACAAGTAATTTGACTGCAATGGGCCTATGATCAGTTTATGGAGTTTTATTAACTTGACATGTGGATAACATTATTCAAATTTTGGTGCGGACATCCACGTAAAAATTGATTAGTCAATGTTATCTAATTGTTGATATGTATTTAAAAAGGTCGACATATGAGCTTTACACTTAAAGAAATGCATAAATAATTAGATACAAGGAGTGTTGTACTTTTAACCTTATAGATAGTAATACATATATATACCTATGCTTAAAATGGTAATCGAGGTTTAGTGCTAATTAACACCATAAGAGAGAGTACTAGTAGTCCTTGTTAGTAAGACACATGTCCTTTTAACCTCTGATGATCAGTCAATTTTCGCTAAAAAGACGGGCTTATGTTAAGATGATCAAATGCATGAAACTGCTGCAGCTTGTAATCTAGTGAGTTTGGTTTCTGAGTAGTTAATTTGGCTTGTCGAGAGAGGACATGACGTGAAGAACTTCAATTCCATTAGATGCTATATCCAATTTGATCAGAGCTTTGGCAATTCTATTAGGCATCACTTCTGTAATGTCACCAGCGTGACACAGTTGATATCTTCTCTTGCATCAAGCTTTTCGTTTCTTATCAATTTTTTTTCCTAATATAATCAAATAATCCAACCATTGAGGGTAATATCACTAGTCACTACCCACTAGACGCGGAAAACAGAAGACAAGACAAGGGCAATTACACGTCCAAGAAGGATAATTAATAATCTATGCGGCAATTTTGATTGTACTTTCAGCTAGCGATGGCCACATAAATACAAGAGCTACGTCAGTGATTGACATTGAAGATTTGGCTATTGTCTCACAACTTCTTATGTATTTTACTCCATCTTCCTCTCTTTAAATAATTCTGGTTGGTTACCTTCCAAATCAGTGTCACTTCAGTACTGTTGCCTAGTTATGATCTATCAATTTTGAACCTGTGTCACGTTATTGTTCGCAAAATCAAAATTATAGAATTTAATTTAATTCGCTTGTTCTAATGCATTGATTAACTTGGATTCTATTGATTTGAACATAAATCAAGAGTAATTGTGAATAAAATTTGAAATTAACGATACAAAACGTGGGAGTCCCGATGGTTGAAAGTAACAAGACGAGTAGAAACTTCTGGATTGAAATGGATGGACAGTGCTGAGGCACCGTAAGTATGCGGAAGCCAACAATAAGTACCACTAGCTATAGCTATAGCTCTTCAAAATGTGCCCAATCAGTCACGGCACCGCCCAATATTTTGGTTTTATATAGCTGCTTCACATGTGACTACACTACATACTTCTAAATCTCGCCAAACATGAGCGTTCCAATTCAGACTTCAGAGTATGCAGTTTTAGCTAAACATATTTTTTTAGTAGTTAAGCTGTTTGTTTTTTGGTATTTAGTAATACTTATAATATAAAGTTAACCCAAATTATCTACTTTAAGTTAAATGGCAATTAATTTGGCACCATTTTTGGTAAATGTTAACAACTGAGATGACAGTTTAACTACTAGTATTCAAGCCTAAACCTTGAAACAACATAACGTTTTCATTGTTCATCATGCATTAATGTCCCAATTCTACCACTCTTCCCCAACTTCGACAATTTAACTTCATGAAATTCTTATAAAACTAATCTTAACGTTATATTAGGCCTATACTCGGGATTTTTATAAGGAATTTAATAGATATATCCAATCTAAGTTTGTGGAGGGTTGAATATAAATAGTTATGATTTATTATCACATATCCTATAAGATAAATAATATGCAGCAAAATTTTCTATGCATGGAAACACAGTGCGTTATATATAATAATTATACACAAGCAACTCCAAATAAGTAATCTATCTCCACTCTGAGATTTATTATTAAATTTAAAAACATTTAACCAAAGATTATATTTTCCAGCTCTTATCATACCACTACTTGGAAAAGATGGTACTAGAGGCATGTTTAATGTCAAGAAGCACAGAAGGTTTTCACACAACCACCAATTTTTTCGTTGTTTTTATTCTTTAAAATTAAAAAAAAACGAGAGCCTTAATTCTCACATGAAGGGTTGGTACGTAGCAGTTTCCCAACATCAAACAACAGTACCAGTAAAAATACCATGCTAATTTCTTCAAACACATATTTACTTTTATATTGTCTTTTCTAATATTTTTTCAACTAGACCCACTTCATGACAGAGACTCAATTCATATAAAATACTCATCAAGTAGCCTATGAACCCCAAAGTCTCTTGTTTTTTCCTCTTGATTTGTTTCTACCGTCTTCACTATCTTGCAACCCGATTGGAATTTCATGAATAACAAAAGCATATTAATGTCAAAATCAACAATCTAAGGTTGTTTATCAATTTGTCAATTATTTTACCATCTTTAGAGCATTTTCACGAAACTTTTTAAATATCTTATGACATATAAACATTAATATTCTTTTTTATTAATTGCAGATGACAACAGTGATTTTTATATTTATGCTTATTTCAATATGGTGATTATCTTTTATGGATAAACTAATTTGTAAAATTTAGTCTACGTGGTACATAATAGTTTCAATTAATCTAAGTTTCTTTTTTCTTTAATTCCCTTGAATGAATTTTGGATTGCAGCACTGTCAACTTAATTTATTCTGAAGGGTCAGCTTCTATGTGAAAGAAACAGAAAAGAGCTTTCCAGCAAAGGAACTTAACTAAAGGACAAAGATCAGTTACTTGTGCTTATAATCGTCAGAGCTCATCAATTGAAAGTCGAATGAGAACAAAATATTCAACAGTGAAGAGTAGGCCTATATTATCTTCGACACTGCTTCACACTCAATGCCCTTAATTTCTTTGAGCTCTTATTGATCTCTTGCTTACATGGTCTCTGTACTCAAAACATCTTGAACTTTTCAGTAATTAATTTTCTCTTTTCATTCTTTTTTTCATCGTCTTATTGTATCTGTCAATAGTCTAATTCTAACTATAGCATAGGAAAACAAATGGGAAATTTCTTGTTCCATTTGGTTAAGAGGAGTTGGAACAATTGTTTCCTATGCATTTTAATCTAATATTTACTTTCTTAAGCTCACCATTTATATTGTTCTCTGAATTTTGCAGTACTGATGGAGTTACATAGAGAAATTAAATGTGAGGAATCTGTAACTTTTCAGGGGATGACTGAAGCTGAAAATGTATCAGGGAAATTTAGCAGCAAAGCTTTAAGTACTGTTCGCGGTAACAATGTTGAGAGTAAAATCTGTATACAAAGGGTCAAAAGCTTAGACATGACACCTGAACCACCTTGTCAAAAACTTAGAGGCAAAACAAAGTCATTAAGTGCCCAATTCTTGGTCAATATAGATGATGTTGTCAACGATTTTTCTGGAAACTTTGATGAGAAAGGTTCCATTCACAGGAGGGCTTCTCGCAGAGGCTTCAGCCATTCTTTCCCACGAGTCGGAGCCAGTCCACCTTCGGAGAATATCTCAGATACCATTCAGCAGCAGCGTCCCAATTGCAGTATAACAACTTCTCCTTTTATATTGATTGCTCTTTGCTAATAACACTTCTCAAGCTGATATTCCTGAGATGTCTTGCTGACTAATTTCACATGGCAAACAGGAGAAAGTGCAATGGCTCCATCTCCTCCACATGATGAAGAAGATCCAGATTTATGCAGAGCAAAGAAAATACAAATTGGGCCTACCTTACCTATACATCTCAAGGTAATATCATATAAATTTATGCGGCCCTAGCCCTGGAAATTAGTATGGAATGTAATGATCAAATTTTCTGGTGGGCATAGTTCGAGGATGTTAAATACAAGGTAGCAGTCAAGGGTTTAAGAAGGTCAGATGGGGAGAAGCACATACTGCATGGAACCACCGGTTCTGTTCATCCTGGAGAAGTTCTTGCAATAATGGGACCTTCAGGAGGCGGTAAAAGCACTCTGCTAAATATTCTTAGCGGAAGGATCAAACTTCACAGTGGCATCATCACTTACAACGACCAACCATTTACCAAATCACTTAAAAAGAGGTATAATCAATGTTACTTGAAAATTCATATTTGCAATTTCCTTTAGATGTTACAAATTGGTGGGCTGATTGCAGAGATATGGTTGAAACAGGATTGGACTTGTGATGCAAGATGATGTTGTATTCCCCCACCTTACAGTCAATGAAACTCTAACATATGCCGCTCTGCTCCGGCTTCCCAATACCTTAACCACACAGCAGAAGAAAGAACGAGCCTCTAATGTTATTAGCGAGCTAGGCCTGGAAAGGTACTTTCTCCATTGCTTGCTAGATTTGTTTTAGTCTTTAGTTTATGAAACATTAACGAAATGATTTCAGGTGCCAAAATACACTGATTGGAGGGAAATTTGTGAGAGGGGTTTCTTGTGGTGAGAGAAAAAGAGTGTGCATTGGCAATGAAATCTTGCTGAATCCATCACTTCTGTTCTTAGATGAACCAACGTCAGGGTTGGATTCAACAACCGCTCTAAGAATTGTACAGATGCTACGCGACATCGCAAAGGTACAAAAATTCTTCAGGTCCATCACTTTCTATTTTTTATTTTATTCCTTCTTATATCTTGCAAACAATAGTCTAATCAAGGCATTTTGAGAAATATATAATACAGATCTAAGTTGGTCGAATAAAATATTTTTGGAGAGAACCTTAAAGATTAATTTAAAATCTTAAATAAAATAAAATAAGATTGCTTGTATGTGAGATTTTGACCACTGTATATAATAAACTTTCTGAATTCTTTATTTATTTATGTATAATACGATGAAAATGAGAACAATTTTTAGAATTTGGGAGATCAATTTTCCTTTTATTTGAAAATGCCTGCTAAAAAACTGACTTTTTTTTTTTTTTAACAAACCATGCGTCCTTGTTAAGGTAAATGACATACAATAATGCTATGCTTACTCACGAGCTTATTAACTACTTTACTATCTTTGTTAAAATTATATATGGTACTCGTACTATGTGTATGATACTCGTACTATACGTTATATTTACAAATGATAGTAAGATGTTAATAAGATCGTGAATAAGCATAGCATTACTCAAATGACATATCATTTCAACAGGTAAATATCACTTAGGTCCAAAAAGATCCATCTTTTATTTATTTATTTAATAAACCATAGGTATCCATCAGATATTTACCAACTAAACGATATCAATTTATTAACATAACCGACCTGTCATTTGTTATAAACAACATCTACGATATGTCCCTTAGTTAAGGTAATTGACTTGTAGTTTTTTATTTGCATTATGTATGATATGTGGTTTTTAATGGTGAGGGATTTGTCGTTTACTTATATGATATAGCCATATAGGTACAACCAGTCGTTTACGTGAATAACCGACATGTCATTTGCTTAACTACAACATGTATGGCATGTCTTCTTTTGGTACTAATGACTTGTCGTTTTCTTCCTTGACGGCATGTTGTATGATTGCTCGATATCAATATTACCCCAAAATTATTTAAAGTTATTGTATCCCCTTATTTTTGCGGACTTACATGATATTTATCATATATAATATTGTAAATTCGTTTCTGGAACGACACGTGTTTTTCTTGAAAACAAACATGTCATCCATGGTGGGAACGACATGTTGTACTTTCTATGTAAAAGATCAATTATACCTCCTTTGGATGTGTAAACATTTGATAAGCCACTAATATAGCTAATAATTTGGACTTCATTAATATTTTTCCTGAACTTTTTAACAGTATTATATTTGCCCTGAACTTTGAACATCAGAATCGTCATCTTTGCAAATCTAATATGTTGCGCAGGGCGGCAAGACGGTGGTGACGACAATACATCAACCGTCCAGTAGACTCTTCAGTGAGTTTGACAAACTGATACTGTTGGGTAGAGGGAGTTCTTTATACTCAGGAAAAGCTTCGGAAGCTATGCCATATTTCTCTTCAATCGGTTGTTCTCCTCTCATCGCCATGAACCCAGCAGAGTTTCTAATCGATCTTGCAAATGGCAACATAAATGACAAAACATTTCCATCGAAAATAGAGGCCAATTTGCTACCTGGAAGCCAGAGTTATCAAAATGGAGGGCCCTCTCCTTCTGATGTTCATGAGGTCAATAATAATGACAATGCTAATTAAAAGTTTCAGCTATTTGATGAAACTGTGTTGTATGTTAATCTGATTATACATTTTTTATGCAGTACCTTGTGGAGGCCTATGAAGCGCGAGGAGCGAAAACCGAGAAAAGAAATGTCTTAAAACCTGTGGTGGTCGAAGGTGGGATGGAGATGCAGGAGAAGTTAAATTGCAGGGAAAGTGAAACAACTTGGTGTGAACAGTTCTCAATTCTCTTGAGGAGAGGCCTTAAGGAGAGACGTCATGAGTATTTTAGTTGTATCCGTGTGACACAAGTTATCTCTACTGCTATAATAATTGGCCTACTTTGGTGCCGTTCTGATGCTTCAACTGCCGAGCGACTTCAGGATCAGGCAACATTCTCTTAAACCTGTTAAACTTGAATCAATAGCTCCTTTTTGTCAATGTTTTAGTTTGTTTATTGGTCTTATTCTGTATGCAGGCAGGGCTGTTGTTCTTCATTTCAGTGTTTTGGGGCTTTTTTCCTTTATTTACAGCCATTTTCACATTCCCACAAGAAAGAGCAATGCTATCAAAGGAAAGATCTGTGGACATGTACAAACTCAGTGCCTATTTTTTGGCAAGAAACACTAGTGATCTTCCTTTGGATCTCATTCTGCCTGTTATGTTCCTTGTGATAGTCTATCTTATGGTGGGGTTGAGGCCAAACTTCGCCGCCTTTTCTCTGACAATGCTCACAGTTTTCCTCAGCATTATAGCTTCTCAGGTGTAATTAAGAACATCTCATATCAAACAATTCCCCAGCGAAATTAAAGAAAATCTAATACTATGACTTAAACGCCTTCTTTGAAATCGAAAATTGCAGGGTCTTGGACTTGTCTTGGGTGCAGCATTCTTGGATGTGAAGAAAGCAACAACATTGGCATCTGTTGTTGTTATGACCTTTATGCTTTCTGGTGGATACTTTGTCCAGGTTAGAAGAAATTTGCCTCATAAATGCCTTAAGTTAATTACATAGAATTTTATCATTGATACTTAATGGGTTCACACAACAATTTGTTGCAGCACGTTCCATATTTTATGACATGGGTGCGCTACATTTCTTTCAATTATCACTCGTACAGGCTACTCCTGAAAATCCAGTTCAATTGCTCAGATTCAGGTCCTTGTGATTCTCCCTTCATCAGAGAACTGAGACTCGATCAGGGTGGCTTAGAAGTGGGAGCTCTGGTGGCCATGATCGTAGGGTATCGGTTACTGGCCTACTTATTCTTAAGAAGAATGAAATTACAGACGGTGGCTTAGATTATTGTATATTGGCTCAATTATATGTAGAAGACGTCTGCTTGATAATATTTATCTCATTCAACAATAAGGTGAAATTATCTTCTTGATAATGGCAACATTAAATAAGAAAGGTATCATCCTCGTTAAGTTGTTGCTTATCTTCCTCTATTAAATTGTCTTTGTTTCATCAACTTTTCAAAATAATATTTCTGTAGTGAAAAATATTTGTGTGATTTTCAATTATGCCATTATTTTCTTTTTCATCCTTTTATTTTACTGCTGTAATCATGTTATTTTCTGTCTAGCTAGTATTTAAACTCAGAACACCAAACTCAAAGCTGAACAGAACAATCAATAAGAAGAGTATCAAATTACAAAGAAAAATGCTACACCACAACTTGTTCTCACAAACTTTCTCTTACAACCTGGACGTGGTAGTTCATAATTGGTCAGCTTGTAATGGGTCCCACCTAGGTCTAACATAATAAATTACGGTTAATTAATTGTAAGCTGTTACGTCAAGATTGTGAGAGAAAGTTTGTGATAAGAGATTATGGATATAGTATCACTCAATTACAAATATGGTGATCATATTTGATTGACTGGTACAATTCAACTCCACTCCACTCCACACACGCACACACACACACATAAATATCGTATTAGCTACTAATTACTTAATACAGGATATAATAATTCCAGGAACCTGAGAATATAAATTCTGATAGAGGCATGAAGCATTACATAGCACACAACACTTTCAGCCTTAATTTTATTCCATAACTATATAAACTTATACAACCCTTCACGGGCTGCCGGCTTCAGCTTGCTTAATTATATGCTCTGCGACCAGTTGTATTGTAGTCAGCAAGAAGAGCCCTGCGTCCTGCATGAAAATGAATACAAAAGTACAAGATATTACTTATTGTTTAAGACTTGTTCATTATATATGTCTCTTTTAGCATATCTTTCACAGAGTTTTCATTTGTATAATCTTTTCATTCTCAGAATTAGCTATCAGCAGCTTGGAAAATTTTCTATTTCTAATTCGAAACGATCATGTTGCGGTTTTGATATTCTAAACATGAAGCAGAAGTTAAAATACAAACCAAGATTAGTTTCTGGTGTGGCATCATGAAGCATAGCATTTGCCATGTCAGAGGACATTAGCAACAGCATAGCCACAAGAATTGCCATCAACATGACGTGGATGGCCTTAGAGAGGTCCATTTTCGCGATAGTAACTTCAAGAATGAAGGTAAAACTTCAATCACTGGAGACTTGAGAGAAACAAACACAAAGCGCTGGAACTGTGGATGAAAATAATCTGCTAGCTGCACCCAATTATTTATAGTTGAAGATGCGAATGTGGATGAAAATAAACCTTTTCTTTGGTCTTGATTTAATTTAATAATCAAGATTATCAAGGGGTTTTTTTTTTTTCAGTATAATTAATTGATGCCGGTCAATCTCATGGTTAATAAGTTAATATGTGCTTTCTAATGATTTAACCACTTGTTTACTTAAACAGGAAATAAAAAACAGCATCTAAAAATTCACGGCAATACACAAATGAGATTCATTCATGCTTTAACTGCCCTTTCATTTTCAAATCCATGCATTTTACATCACGGCAATTTCTGCTTTTCAGTTTTTACTACCCTAGGAAAACTCATGACCCCAGGACCGTTCCTTCAGGATTTGGGCCAGTCTCTCAAGGACCGGTCCCAAATTGGGCCCGGTCCTTGAGGGCTCAGGCCCGGGACCGACTGGCCGGGCCTTGCCCACCTCTAAATGAAACAATAAATAATCATCAACACTTAAAAGTGGGGTTACTTCAAGAGACGAAATGTACCAATTCAAAGTTGAGTTGAATTAGAGACTTGTGTATTGATCATTCATGGTATTCATATGGGTTAAAGAAGTCAAATTAAGTTGAGCAACTGAGATATCAGACTTGTCTAGACGTTTATGAACTGAAGTACACGGAATCAAGTTAACCATTCTTGTCGGTAGTCTGAAAACAAAGTGATGCTACAGTTTGTTCAGATAAAATTATTGACTGTATCATGAATATCAAATTTATATAGCGTCTGCAACAATTCTTAATAAAAAGAATAATATTTTCGTGAGGAACGAGGAAGCAGAGATTAAAGATACCACAGAACATGCAATTTCTGAAACAATTTACCCTATTAGTTTTTCCGAAAAACTAATCTCATTATAATATGAAATAAACTGTGATTCAAATGTTTCATCAAATAATTAAGTCCAATATTTATAGGGTTCAACATAAAAACGATATATATTCTCATTAAGACACATGAAAATCAATTTGAAGGATAGAGAAAATTATTTCTTAATTTTATAACCATGGGGACCAATAGCAAAATTCTACTGCTTCGCTTCAAATCCATATGGTAACAAGCAGGGACGTAGCTAGAAATGAAATGTGAGAGGATAAAAGTTAGAAGAATAATATAATTTTAAATTAAAATAAGCACAAATTTTGTATTTATAAAATTCCCATTAACTAATACATTTATAATTGTCTTCGACGAGATTTTATCTTTTGAAGGCATTGTATAATGACTTTATTATTAATACTATCAAATATATTTTTCTCTATGTACATAACTAAGCTATTTTTCAACCATTGATTACTCATTCTATTTTGAAAACGACTTTTCCATACAATTCATTGTTGAAAATGCTCTCTCTACACTAACAGTGACAACGAGTAGAATAAATGCTAATTTCATCAACAAATAAACTAATGGAAATACTATCTTTTTTTGTTTCAATCATCATTTTTGCAAGATCTCCAATTCTTTTCGATCCCATAAATTTGACATTAGAATGCATATCCAAACTGCAAACATCAAGTTGAGACTAAAGTGTCATGAGTTTTAAGTTAGAAAAACTTTATGGATAAAGTTCGGCAAGGCTCAAAAATTTTTGATTTTGTTTGGACACAAATAGCCAAACAAATTGAATGATATGTGTAAAAATCTATTCAAATAACCAAACACTTGTACAATTAAATCTACTTTTTTATAACACTTGTAAAACAATTAAAGTTAACTCCCACTTTAATCAAACACTTTTTTTTTATAACAAAATATGGGCAAAAAAATGTGGTCCAAGAAAAATCTTCTCCATAAAAAAAAAAAAAAAAAAAAAAAAAAAAAAAAAAAAAAAAAAAAACAGTATACATGTTAGTGGTCCCAAGGCCAACTCCAAAAAACTTTAAAATATCTCGTTACTTCCTCTAAATTCAATATATATCAACAAAAAAAAAAAAAAAAAAGGGTACAATTTGTGGTCCATTGGCAATTTCATCTTCATAAATCTTAATCAATAATTTAATCTTAAACTTTCAAAATAAAATAATACAAATATAAAATGTATCAGTATTGTTGGGATATTGTGGCTCGCTTTCCTATTTATTACCAAGTGAAATTGTATGTCTTTAGGAAAACTATTTAATAAATAATACAATTGTAAATAGGAATAGAATTTATGAGTCCTATTAGGAATTGAAATATGAATCTTATTAGAAAAAGAATATCTCATAGACTACTTATAAATATGGGGGTAAGAACCGATTTAAGGTTATAAGTGAATGTGAGAGCACATAATATTTGATATAAGGATTATTAAACATCATGGGGAGAGTGTCTTAGAAATTGGGATCGTTTCCACTCTAAGTATTAGGTTGAGCGTGATTAGAAACTATAATTGTTTCCGCTTTGTTTTATGTATCGGGTTTATGGTGTTGTGTACAGTGTACTCTCATATATCATATACATGAAACTATAGTGGATTTCTCTCATCCATAGAGGTAGGCGGGTTATGCTGAACCACGTAAATATCGTGTCTCTTTGTGTGGTGTGATTTTATTCCTATGTTATTTATCTCGAATGTATGTTTTCTATTGCGCGATCTCCTAAAAAGCACTACAAGAAAAATGCCTTTCGACGTCTAGCAAAATTAGATGTAGAAAGTAACATTTAGACGCTAAGCCATTTTTCGCGTCTAAATTTCGTAGTCACCACGTAGTTGCAGAATCGCTGTCGTACATTGTTTACGAGTCTAAATTTTTGTTTAGACGTGGAAAGTTTTTTTTTAGCGACTAGCAAATTAGTCGCTAATTGCTAGTCAAAATAGTCCCCCAGCTTAGACGCTAATGGTTCAAGGGTAATTTGGTAAAATGGTATAGCGACTAATCAATTAGTTGCAAAATGTACCTTTTAGTGTCTAATAATTTGTCGTGAATGCCACAAAAATTAGACGCCAAAGGTGTAAGGGTAATTTCGTAAAAGGTTTTCACAACTATTTTATTAGTCGACGAATGTATCTTTTGGGGACCATAATTTAGTGGTTAATTGTAATAATTTTAGACGCTGAATGTAGAATCCAAAAGGTTTTCACGACTATTTTATTAGTGGCCGAATGTATCTTTTGGTGACCAAAATTTAGTAGTTAATTATAGTCATTTTAAACGCTGAATGTGGAATCCAATAGGTTTTCGCGACTATTTTATTAATGGCCGAATGTATCTTTAGGTGACCAAAATTTAGTAGTTAATTATAGTCATTTTAGACGCCGAATGTAGAATCCAATAGGTTTTCATGACTATTTTATTAGTGACCGAATATGTCTTTTGATGACCAAAATTTAGTGGTTAATTATAGTCATTTTAGATGCTGAACGTGGAATCCAATAAGTTTTTGCGACTATTTTATTAGTGGACGAATATATCGTTTGGTGACCAAAATTTAGTGGTTAATTATAATCATTTTAGACGCTGAATGTGAAATCCAAAAGGTTTTCGCGACTATTTTTTAGACACTGAATGTGGAAGCAATTATACTAAATTACTTTTTGCTACTAAAACATTAGTTGCAGAATGTGTTTTTTAGAGCATTTCGTATTTGACCTTCAGCGGAATGCAATTATGCTAAATTACTTTTTGCTACTAAAAAATTAGTTGCAGAATGTGTTTTTTTTTAGATCATTTCGTATTGACCTACATTATACATTCAACATCAACAAAATAATTGACACAATATAAAAATCTG